ATTTCAAACCGGGTGATGTCTCGGTCCGATGCCGATCTACCGGTTTATTACCGGTAAAACAGCCAAACCGGTATACCGGCCGGTCTGGTCCGGTCCAATTTTGCAGACCAGTACAGGTACCGATCTGAAAAAAAACTGGACCGGCTTCATCTATGCCGCACATCCCCACCCACACCCAATATTATACTTGTGAGTACCACGTTAAAGAAAATACGGCACTGAAAGATTTCATTTCCCATTTCTCGCTGCAGTTATATGACAGGCTAATCTGAATTCGAATCCCGATCGGAGTTCGAGTGAAAATTGTCTTTTTGCTTTTTTTGCCGTAATAACATGAAAGCCGTTTTTCTATTTTCGAAGTGATATCGAGCAATTGAAGCTGCATTTATATTCGAACTCGAATTAGGCATCTCATATTTCAACCATGTTTATAACTAACAACCCGAGTTATAACTATCAACCTTTTTAAATTGATTGACTTTCTTTGAATTTTTCAGTAGATTTAATTAAGTTGAATTAGTAATTATTTCGATTTAATTGATATTTTTGACAGATTAAATCATAATACTTAAGTATAAACCTGAAAAGAGGACAAAAATACAAATATTAATTGATGAAAGCAAACCAACTAGCATCATCATCGAAAACCTTTTTTTTAATTCGATTCAGATCGATCCAAGGCCTTTTCTTCAGAATCAAATAACATGATATGAGTCTTGCCATTAACACGCAAAAGAATCATTTGCGCGCTGGATATTTATGAGCTACTAGCTGTGACACATACGTTAAATTCTTAATAAAACATAAAAATCTCAAAGGATGCTCTCTATGATGACTAATAAAGTTTAACTGTTTGAACAAGTTCATTGTGCTTGTTTATTACCTTGAAAATATCTGCAATTGAGATCGAGCCAGTATACAAAACCGCGCAAAACAATAACCAAATTTTCATTTCATGTAAAACGAATCTATTTTTCTTCAATAAAATGTGGTTACTTCATTCTCCTCTTGCATCATCATCAATTATCCTGTCTGCATCTAATTCTATACCTCACGAGAGTGCATGTAGGTATCAGTATATACCCTAGTCGGACATCTTGTAAGCTAGATCTGGATCAAGATCTTGGATACACTAAGGGAAAACGTGTTGCATGTGTCGTGATTTGCGACACAATGTATGACGTATTCTGAAAGCGTGGTTCGAACCTATCATACAGCGCATTTTTTATTTTTTTCTGTAAAAGCATGTTATGGTATTTCAATTTATTCTCATTTTAATTATTCCTGTCACCAAGAACTCAAGCAAGTCAGATGTTGGACTATGACTAGCTTTGAGTTGGTCTAATCTCCATCAAACCACTTTAGGGTAGTCCTCTCTTGATCATCGATCGAGATCAGCATGTTATCAAATAATCAATAGTCGAGAAATATTTTAGAAAAAAATTATTTTGAAAATTTATATCCTGTATGTTCAATCATGTTGTTTATATACAGCTGTGTATGCATAATCGAGGCGAAATCATCAATTGATTATCACTAATGCTAGTAAATACTCTGTCTCTGACCAAGCTCTGGTTGCTATCAGCAATAGCCAGCTTGAGTCAATACTGTATACTGTTGAGTAATGACAAACAGTTAAATTGCTTTTTCTGAGGAAACAAAATATTTTGTGAAAATGTTTGCGTAGTTTATAGGCACCGATATGAGTGTTGATTGATTCGCTGCTGTGTTGCTTACGACATTCTGAAATTTTCTCTCTCCTTTTTTTTTCTATTGCATTTCAACATGGGCTGCACACAGTAAAGCATGTAAACAATATGTGATATCTGCTAGCATTTGTTAGCTATTCACGACAGCGGACATTTTTTGTAAATACATAGATATACAAATAAGAGACCTCTTCAACTCATATCCAATCATATCAGTATATTGCCAGAGAAAGATGAACTATCACTTACGAAAAACCTCGAAGGAGTAAATGTGCTTCAAATCAATCAATTAATACAGTCATCTCTATGAGTGAAAGTGAAGTTTATACATACAGTATAAGCGTTGTGTTGTCGAAGTGTTCGCTTATGTATCCTGATTATCGTGCTAAGTTACTGCAGTGATAAGAACTCTAGTTTTCCAAGAAACAACAAGTAAGACTTAATATAATTGTGCGTGATACAATCGACTGCATCTGTTTGTCTTCACGCACAATCTTCTTCAACATAGGATGATTTTAGTATCAAACTCATCATTTTTTCATGCAAATGCGTATGAGCAAAGGTCGTGGACTATCTAGAAATATTTAGCAAATGCTGCTTGTCTTTTCTCTTAAAACGGAAATCTTTTTCTAGACCAAACAATGCTGACTTCTTGTAGTCAATGCTTTTTCTTGCTCATGCATTTTGAAAAACTCATATGAATGAATCTGAATTGCAAAAGAAAGAATGCTGTGCTCGTTTTTCATACCATATTCAAGCAGAAGAAAAAATGGGTTACAGCTGCTGACGTGTGAACACAATTATGGTCATGCTTCTCCTATAATACAATATGATTCGACCGAGCCTCTATAAGACAGAACAGAAAGAGTATTTTTTATCCTATTTCGTGGCATTGACGACGAAACGGCATGGCACAGCTAAGAAATACTCGTTCGGCTCGCCACAAGGGCCCATGTACAGGAACAACATTTGAACACCTTTCGACCGAGATTTTCTTCGAAAGTTTTGACTATCTAACTGCAAATGAAATTTGTAAGTCTTTTTATCGTCTCAATAATCTATTCAGCCAGCTTGTGTCGAATACACCCAATATTCATCTCGATTTGACTTAAACAAAAATAAAACTTTTAAAAGCATTACAGCAGATTTTCTGTGTACAGAATATCGTTTCGGTAGCAATTTGATATGAAAATGTCAGCTTGTTAGAAAGATATTCCGGTTCATCGAGTGGAAAACGATTGCAATCACTAGCTTTATATGACGTATCGATTTCTGAATTCGAAAATAGCATATCGGTGCTATTGAACGCTTTCAAGGATCGGCTACGAAGCTTAAAAATTGTATTCAGTGGTATGAAATGTGGCCAGCCTGGTGACCGTGCTGCTGAGTCATTTGGATATCTACTCACAGAACTACCATTGTTAAAAAATTTAAGCTTGGAATATTCAAAAGGAATCGATGCGATAACTTATATGCCTTCAACAACTGTCAACAATACAATCGTCAGTTTGACAATTTGGCTATTGGAAGCTAAGCGTTTGATGCCATTACTTTATCGATTCCAAAGATCAAAAGCGTTGACACTGTACAGCGAAACTACAGAGTTCTGTACGAAAATGGCACTACCTCCACAGTATGTTACGGATTATCTAAATCAAATAAGAAAGAAAACATTGATGGAATATCCTGCAACACTTCGTCACGTCAACGTATATGGGTACTCATTGATGTTAGGACGATTTCAAGCACTGTCCCAGTTCATTATTCCACAAACATTATTTATTTTGAGCTTCTTCGCTTGTCAACATGGAGAAGTAAAAATTCCGATACCGAGAAGACAGCCTCCGTTTCTTGATGGTACAGAATGGCATGATGTGCTGAAGAAATTTTTATCCCCAACTATCAAAAGGTTCCACATCGAATACAAAGATGTAGATGATACAATGTCACGCACAAATCCCGTGCGAGTTAAGAAAGAATTTATTCAATACTATGTAGCAGACTTGTTGCGGGAAGTTACCTTTTCTTACAACAAAGATACCAAGCTAATGTCCTTCGATATAAATTTTATCTTGTGAAATTTTCTCGAATATCAACAAAGAAAATCATTTCGGACCAACTTCTTTCTAATTCTTATTATCAAGATAAAATTGTATATAATAGTCGGGTGTTGAGTGACTTCTCCCTCATAAATAAAGGGTTGTCGAGAATGAAGAGAATACTGTTATCTGAATTCACACACTCGCACCCTATTCTTGCAAAACTTGGTTTGCCTTTCATCCGTTTTCAACTATGCAGTGACTGAAGTGTTTTTGCGATCGATACCTTATTGTGTACATGTTTTTCTCTCTTTTCTTTTAAAACTTTCTGAATAAAATTTTTCTTCTTCTCTTAAGAACGAAAAAATCAAACAAAAAAAAAACGTCTTCACTTCGATTTTACTGTCATCATGCTACTGGTAAATAAGTTAATCACAGGCACGAAATAACAAGATAATTTAATTGAATTTTCAATGGAATAACAATCGTAATCTTAAAATCGATGAGATGAAGACCGTTATAGGTTCATTAAAAAAGAATAAAAGTTTTCTCAATTATGTTTTTAAGTTTTAGTTATACGTACGAGTATTGAAATAAATTTGAATAGGAGGAAAGTCTTTTTACATCCAGGTGATTACTGTTTTTCATATCTATGAAAAGCGTCATGACGCAGGCAGTGCCCGAGTTGCATCACAAAGGTGACAGAGAGAGACGTACATCATCATGATCTTAAAACGACTTCAATACGAATTCAAATCATTGTTCACAAGGAAATTAGATCTTGTCTTCGTTCTTATTTCGATAGAATAATGTTTATGTCAATCAACATTACACAACTAATAGTTTCTAACCTCATTTTCAAATGACACCTTGAAGGCAGTCGAGATGAGGGTGTGGGTGTGGATGTGTGGGTATGGTCGTGAGTGTCGGTACTCATTACACCCACACCGTCTAGACGTCTTCTTTTGCCCGATATTATATAAGAAAAAGTTCTTTTAAAACCCATCACCGTTGCAAAACATTCAAAAAACATGATTGAAATGGTTTGTAGAAAATTTTCTTGTTCAAAATTGCTCAAAATAAAACATTATTTTCATGTACTTTCTTTTGAAAATTATGTCGCATATAATATCAAATAAATAGACGTCCTTTGGATTACTAAAAACTGCAAGTTGTTAAATGTTTCGGCACGCATATTCTTTCATATTTTTAATTACCATATTTTTATACAGATGAAACGCTTGATCTTCCAATGTCTGAACTAGATGAAAACTGTCGTCGTCTTCATCGAAATTCCATTAAAAGCACATTACATTATGGTGTACTTTCTAGTTTTATTTCTATTGATCCAAATGATGGTATATTCTATTCGATGGGTAAAGCTACATCAGAATTTTATCGTGCACATCGTACATCGATTTCAATGTTAGCAGCCTATTCTCAATCACTTTTATACGTGTATAAAAATCATTTAATAATTTCAAGTAGTGTTTCTGTTTAGTGAATTAATCGAAATCTTTGCAACTATTCTTATTTATAGTTGTAAATGGAGACTTGGAATACTTTATTTTATTAATTATGAGCATGAAGCTGTTGAGAATTCTCATGAACGTGTTGTTACTATTAAATCAGTTTATATGAATGGCGAAAATAGTACAATATTAATTGATACAACTATAATATTTCTAATTAACTTAATAATTGTTAAGAATATGAAACTGTCTATTGTGATATACCTACTGTAAATGGTTCACTTCATGGATATCTGTAAAAAATTGTTATCATTGTATTATTTATTAGTTTATTATTAATTGATATCCCTACTTTTTGTCTAATTTAATTGAAACGTAAAGGAAAGTAAGTTGACGAGATGAAATATTGATCTTGAACGAACGGACTTACTCAAAATGTCTCTATTCGATTTTTTAATGATTTTCCTACCTACAGATACTACATAAGATTTCTAATAAAAATCTTTGAATGCTTTTGAGCCCATATTTTGTCTGATGGTTAGGGACACATAGATTAGAACAGATTCCAAATGAGTTGTGCTGACGTTACGATTTGACCCACATATGGACTTATTAATGAATTTTTCTCTATGTGGTCCTACTTTTTCGATAAAATTTTTTATGGAGTCTTGGTCTGAAAATGTCGCTTAGATGAAGCTCTTAGTAATACTATGTTAAGCACAACATTTTAGAAGTTTATGATCGAGTGTCTCGAAAATATGCAACTTTCAAACTATGCATATTTTACATAGTATTAATAAAAAATTGCCTGAATCCTGAAATATGGTGCATATAAGCTAGTTTCACTGAAGACTACATCTAAGTAAAGTTTTCCGACTGAAGTTCCACAGGAGGATTTAATCGAAAAATTGAAATGGGTCTACATTTTGAGAGTTTCATATCTCGAAGAGACTTTGTAAAAAAGAAACTTTTGAATGTTCTTATAGAAACTAATCTAGTTGACTTCTCTATATATGCAACATTTCAAATCAAAATTAGAATAGACAATTTCCCCGAAAATTTGGAATCTCTAGAAAATAGACATATTAATAATTCCATAGCTTATGACAAAACTTCTTCAGATATCGAATTGCTTTTCGATTGGATCGGGGTTAATTTGATGATTACTAGCGAGTAATAAAAACAAATCTAGAATAATATAGTTTTTCTAGTCTTTATTCTTGAAATATCAGTTTCGAGTTCAAAGTTTGCGCGAAAAAAATTCTTACTAAGATTAGTTCATTGAACAAAGTGTAACTTTTCTAGTATCTTATATTCTAAAATATCGAATATTCTAAATTCTCTCATATGCAAAAGGGAAATGTTGCTCATATGTTTACATCTCCCAAAAGAAAATAAAAGTTGTACAATCAACTAATTCCATTAAGAACTTTGTTCGTGCAAACTTTATAATCAAAACTCTAACATAACCTGATGAGAACCAGAGCTATTAGTTGAAAAATGCAGTAACAATTCGATATTTGAAAACAAAGACTCAGAAAATTAAACTATTCTAGACTACAATCAATTCTAACTTCCCAATAGTCACGAAATGTTCAAAGACCAGGGAATATTCTACGTCATTTTATTACATGTTCAATAAATAATATAAATGCAGTTTCATTTAGAAATGCTCGATCCACCGAAGCACGAGACTAGTCAATCAATGTAAGTAAATATACATTGAATTATTTTTATTTTGTTTAAAGAACATTATTTTACAGGAATCGTCACCAGTAATTAATAATCCAATGTTTACTACAACAAAAGCAACAATTAAAACCAACTCAAAAAGGTTTATATTTCTGAAACTTTATTTTTTATATAGCTACTCTTACATCTCCTCTTCTTCAAAGAAAGAAGACTGATCATGGCAAAGCTAATTTAGATCCATGGAGTAGCAGCAGCGGTGCATAATATTCATCTATTTTGCTTTTTCTATCATGTATACAAATATATTTCATTTTTTCTGTCCTAATGCAGCCTAAATCTTCAATTTTATCTTTGAAATGGTTTTTTCTATTAGCCATGTAATGATAAGAAAACAAAAACAAGAAAAATATATAAGATTTACAATGATATAAATTCTATAGGAAAAAATGTGAAAATCAATCTCCCCATGTATAAAATCGAGTATAACAAAGAATTTCAGGAAGATTCAAATCGAGTTTCTAGCAGAATATAAACGCTATAAACGAAAAACTCTGACTTTAATCGAAGTAATTATGGATGCTATTTTCGATAAAATACTTATCGTTTCTATTTACTAAGAAATCGTTAATGTTCACTCAATAGGATATTTTGCAATAGTTAAAATTTGAAAGTATACTCATTTTTAAAACAAAATTATAGCTAGACAAATGTTGCCATTCATTCATTCATAGGAAAAGATTACTAATATAATCGTATCAATAGTAGCTGAATTGATTCAACTTTACTCTGTCTGGATACTTGATGTGTATAACTTTATTGCAAAAATATTAAATATTTGCTTAAAGAGTAGAGCATCATGCGATTTGAAGAAAAACAAACTAAACAATAATTTCTATCACATAAAGTTTGTTGAGAACTAGTAACTAGTAAAATACCCGAAAGATTTTATTACTTTAATGTACTGATGAAATAATGTTGTGCCCCTTAAATCTTCCTATTCTGATTCAACTTCAATAGATCTAATGTTCATGTTTCACAACATAAAAGTCTATGAGATAAATAAGTAGTAGAATTTGTATTACTGTATTATTTTCAACAGAATTAAAGATATATATTTTGAGTGTCTCATTTAAACAACGTATGTTACGAATACAAAAAAATACATCAAGATTTTGTTTTTGAGAAAAATAAAAGCTTATCAATTGGTTTGAATGAAAAAAGTTAATATAAAAATATATTTGTTTGATGCAAGATTAAATTAATAATGCATAAGTAAAATATTTCATTCCTTCATCTCCGACTGAATTATGTGCATATTTTATTTTTAAACAAATAATTATACAGTAGATGAATACAAAAATAGTCTTTCAGTGTTGTTATGTAAAGCTTTAGCTAAAATTTTAACTTCTTGTGAATTAATTTTATTATAACAAAGAAACCATGTCGTAAGTTTTTGTTTTCCATGGTATCAATCAATAGATAGTACATGAGCAGAAAAGTTATGTCATCTTATTTTTTTGTTACACAATAGCTGTATGTAGTATTCTTTGATCCCTGAATTCGTTATTTACTAGATCAAACTACATTAATGGTTTCATTTTGTTGATTTTTCGCACATTTTTTTTACTTTTTCAACGTACAACTCGAAAAGATATTTTTCTTTCAATTTTTTTCGTAATTGCAAATTGCAATATGAATCTTTGGTAGTTCTCAGTTTGTTTCCCCAAATGGCGATTTTAAAGGTGAGAATTTGTTTTTCAAAACATAATGCACAGGAGTTGCTCACTCTCAATTCGAAAATATTATAAATTTTTAAATTTAAAGGTCAGTTTGAATCTCAGAATGAATATAAGAAATGAACATATTTTGAAATTAGATATAGATTGTTTATTTTAGTGTTTGCTGAAGAGTAGTTTGATACGATGAATGCAAAAGAAGATACTCTTTCTATTTTATATTAGAATTGATCAATTTCTCATTTTAAACAAAAAACTGTTAACAACAATAGCAATCCTTTGCCTATACTTTCATAGACTTCATATAGTACTCAACTCTTAATTAAGCATAATATCATGGATTTTCAAATAATAATGCATATTACTCTGTTTCTGTATATTAATCTATTTATAATAATATTATGAGAGAAAAAGCTTCTAGCTATCATATAAAAGCACAGTGAAATGTGACACAACATATAGAGTCATTTTATGATAAATCATATTTTTCTCTCTTTAGTTTTCTCGTAAAATTATAGGCAATCATAGATAAAAAAAAGAGAAGTGGAGCAATCAAATGAAGCGAAAATTAAAAAAGGCAATTCAAAAGATACTACCAATCGAAAATAGATAGAAATATCTAGCAAAAATACTCAATGTACTGTATAAATTCAGATTAATTTATTTGTATTCATTGATAAAACGTCACAAACAGCATGGACAAAACGGAAAAGTCAATAATAGCTGCTGCTACTGTCACACTACATGAATATACGAGCATAAGATCACGACAAACACCTCGTATTCGATTACTTCAGAATTTCGTTCTGGTGTGGCTCGATGCCAATATCGATGATATAAGCAACAGCGATAGCCTGAGTTTCATCACGAAATTAAGAGAAGTAGTCAACAAAACATATACATTCACTAATGTAAATGAATGCATCGATTTCATAACCGATATTCAAGAAAGAGAATATTTATGGTTATTTTTTATGTTTACGTGCAAATAATTCTTTCCATTGTCCATACGTGAAAACAAAACAGGCTTGAAGATTGAGTCAAACAGTGGTCAAAAGTGCAAGGAATCTTTACAGATACTGCTCTAATCTGTAATGTTCTTCAACAAGCGGTACAAGCATGTAATAAAAACATGATATCGATCAGTTCTGTTACTACTGATAGTGAATCTACGAAGAAAAACCTCAATGAATTAGATTCTTCATTTATGTACTCATAAATACTGAAGAAAATTTTATCAACCATCGATTTTAACCAACAGCATATCGATGAGGGTGTGGGTGTGTGGGTGCGGGTGCGGGTGTCGGTCTGGGTGTTATTTTCAATCATACCCACACCCACACATCCACACCCCACACCCACCCCTGAAAGTTTTTCTTATTTAACAAAAGTTGAGGTGTGGGTGTGGGTGTGAGTTTTCTTTTCGCCCACATCCACACTAGAATCTACAGCCACAGTCACACCCATATCCTTTTTGTTCATTTGTTATTTGTTGGTAATGAAAGAACACAGCATGTGAAGACAATACAAAGAGCACAGATAAATGAAAAAAAATCAAAGGAAAAAGAAAAAATCAAACTATTAAAAAAAAAGAGAAAAAAAGAAAAAAGTGAACATGTTGCATTACACGCTTTCACAATTATTCATCAAGAATTTCGGCTCGACTATTGCGTTTATATTCAACAATTTATTCAAATCGTGTACACAATTCATTAATCGTACGAAACTAAAATATATATCATATATAGATTTATATAAATTCAAAGAAAAAACAAAAAATTCAAACCTCTGTATTAAGTTGATCAGCATCTTTTCGTGGCATAAAGTTAGCAATGGTAAGTGGTGGTTCAGCAAAAACAGTTGCACTTGTCAATTGACCACTTGTACTAAATGGCATATAGTCACCATCATTCAATTTTGATATTCGTTGTGTTTGATCCGGTGCAGCTGATTTTCGAAGAGCTTCTTTCTCAGCATGTTTTCGTTGTTGTCTTTTATAAAAGCATGGACAACAAATGCGATTCATGGCCGAAAAACACAGAGCAAATGGTTTCGTTGGAATACATAATATAATCTAGATTATAACAATCAAATTTTTCTTAGAATTTCATAACTAACTCAAACAACAAACTTGTTGCCATATAAGTGATCCAACACCAAAGAGTAAACTCCATGCCCATTGTATAATACTCAATCGTGCACAACTAAATATTTGACCACCAAATGTAACAATTAAAATCTAAAATCCAACAAATAACATATTATTTTAATTCTTTCTATTTATAATTACTTGTGCAACAAAACAAAAAATCCAAATACAATAAAAAAATGGATTTCGAAATATTCCTTTAAATACATTTCTTTCTCCATGTAATTTTCTTGAATTAATTTCATTAAATAATGTCATTAATACAAATGAATTAAATACTAATGTAAATTGTTTACTTAATTCTCTAGCTGCATGTGGATCATTTTGAATTTTTTGAACTGTTGATTCAACATCTAAGAAATGTTGTCCAGCATAAAGTATAACAAACATAATAACAAGTTGATAAAATGATTGTCCAAGAATATTTCGTAACATTAATGGTGATATTATTGATTTTGTTCGTCCATATGGTTTTCGATTTAATAATTCTTCTGTTGGTGATTCGGTTGCAAGAGCAAGTGAAGCTAATGCATCCATGACTAGATTGACCCAAAGCATTTGTACAGCTCGTAATGGAACACTCTAGAGAATAAGAAAAAACCAAAACATCGAGAACAATTTTTTTTCGAAAGATAAGAATATATATATATCATACACTAATAGCTGCAGCTGATACAACTGAAATTAAACCAGTTGATAAATTAGCTGTTAATTGAAATTGAAGAAATTTTGCAGTACAATCATAAACATTTCTTCCCCATATTATAGCTTTAACAATCGATGAAAAATTATCATCTGTTAAAATTATATCGGATGCTTGTTTTGCAACATCTGTTCCTTGAATACCCTTTAGAAAAGAAATCCATCGAAACAAAAAACCAAATGTAAAATATTTTTTTAAATACAATTTACCATAGAAAATCCAACATCAGCACGTTTAAGTGCTGGTCCATCATTTGTACCATCACCAGTAACAGCAACAATTTCACGATGTGCTGTTACACGACTTTCAATAATACCATTAACTAAATTATATTTATCTTGAGGTGATGCACGTGCTAAAACACGTAATTTTGGCCAAATATCATCGAGCTTTTTTTGTGAAATCTAAATATTTAAATTCCAAAAAGAAAAATATATTCGTTTCGTTGTACTAACTTTTCCAGATGCATCTCGAATATATTTACTAAATTCTTCTCCTTCAAGTATAAGAAAGTCTTCATCAGATTTGATTATACCACATTTTGTTGCTATAGAACGAGCTGTTATTATATTATCGCCTGTTACCATTCGAACAACGACACCTGCTCGTTGACATTTTTTAATAGCTTCCGGTACCTGAATAGAAAAGAAAAACAAACAAGAATTAATCTTTTATTTTTATTTTTTATTAATAAAATATCTTACTTCGTTTCGAACAGGATCTTCAATTCCAACAATTGCAATACAAATTAAATCATTAATAATTTTATCTTCATTATTCCAATCTTGTTTTTCTTTTCCAAGATCTTTATAAGCAATACAAATTGTTCTTAAACCATTATTAGCCATATTTTTAATAGCATCATGTGCTAAACGACATTCTTCATTATCATTTAATTCTTTTAATTGATTATTTTCACCAATAATTGATTTACATCTTTAAGAAACAAAACAAGTCAAAAAAAATGAATAAAAATTTTTTCTTTTTAAATAATTTAAATGTTTCTTTTTAAACGTTTTTTTTTCTTACTTCGTTAAAAGCATTTCTGATGCACCTTTGGTATAAACTCGATAACCATCATTACGTTGAATAATTGTACTCATCATTTTACGTGCAGAATTAAATATATATACTTTAACTAATTTTTCTTCGGGAATATCTTGACGAATTCTATCATATGATCCACCCCAATTTTGTACCAAACCCAACAAAGCACAGTCAGTTTTATTACCAATTTGTTTTGGTAAACCACCATCATCTTGCTTTGATTCCTATATATATATTATTTAACAAAAAAAATATTTAGAAAACAATGAAACAAACTAATTCTAACCTCAATTTTGGATGTATAATTTGTATTAACAGATATAGCTTCAAAAAGTAATGGTAATACTTCTTGATTTACTTCTTCTGCGTTTGGTAATTGTTCACTATGTTTTCCTAATACAAAAATAGATTAAATAAATGAAAAAACAAAATAATCGTGTTCAAAAAAATAATGGATTTCAACATATTCGAACACGATCGATCGAAGACCCAACTGAAATCATGAAATAAGTTTTTTTTTTATTCTAATTATTTTAAAAAGATGAAAAAATTTCATCGTTTAGAGATTCTTAAGAAGAATCTATATTGAAGTTTATATTTCAATGTGATCGATGATTTTTGCCTCCAGGAAATAATCAAAATCAATAAAGTTTCTTGGTTTTCTGATTCTTTTGTCTGTTACAAACGTTATCAGAAAAATGATCGCAAACTTCCAAGAATTTACAATCTAAAATATTGTTTATTAGGGATCGATGTATTGAGCAAGATGATCGCAGTGAAAAAGAATGAACTTATGATTCTAATCTGATCATTAAATTCACTTCGATAATGATACTTTATTGACAGAAATCCCATTTCTTTACTTTAATAACTATGTTTGATGCATAGGCTTTCTCTTTTTTTTTCATTTATCATTCTTTATGTATCTTCTATATGGATATATTTTGCGGTGACAATACTTTTGATCACCAACTTTTCTCAACATTTATTTCACATTGTTATTTGTTAATAAAGTAGAAGTGCTGCTCCAGGTCAGTGGCAACATCACTTTGTACAGTTCCCCACTATCAATCAGATCAGTTAGCTGTTAGTATCGTTGGTTTGGAAAAGAGCGAAAATGATACTTCTTCAGATCAGTGACACTGTGGCATCCATACTTTTTGATGCTCTCTGCCAGTTAGACCACATAATATATAGAATGTCGTCGACCTGGAGAACAACCATATTTTTAACTGGATATTAATTTTCGTTATAGATAAACGCGCTCCACCATTCATTAATTGGTTTGATCATACATTAATCTGTTTGATTCTTGAAAACAAAGTGTCGACTGTGGATGAGGACTTATGTGGATTGTGTATAAGTACCCCAGAGATAATGGAACTTCACTACTTGAAAAGAATTAGTGATCAAAAGTATTTTTTCTCATATTTTGATTACATCCTGTTTACGTCTTTCGCTTCTATTGTTAAGTTGCTTAATATCTATACTTTAGTTTATTAATTTAAAATATAGTATCAATAGAAAAGGTGCAAATAGAAAGACAACCTTATCAATGCTTTTTCCGCTAAATTACTTGAATTTTCATATAAATATCAATAAAGACCCCATAATAATGTCACAACAAGAAGTTAGAACAAAAAAATGATGTCAAACTAATAATATGAGACTACTTGTCGAATAACCAACATCGTCGACATCTAAGTTTAGCAAGTGTATTTATCATGCAATGCACTGCGCTAGAAGATGACACATAATCTGTGTATGTAACAAGTCTTTACAAAACATTTCTGGTTAATTTTCGTTCATTTATGAGTCACTGGAGAAAATCAAAAGTAATCAGCTAGAACAAAAGTTTCGTGCTCTTTCTGACTATTATTCACAATTCTATTTTGGCTTGAAGTTAGTTTATTGAGAGAAAAAATTTGACGGGGATCAAATATCACATTGGTACAGAATTTTTCATGTAGTTTAGGCTTGTATTTTGATCAAAACTGTTTCAATACAAACTATGAGAAATATTTTTTATATATCAGTTTGTAAAACAAAGATTGTTCCAGAGACACTCAATTTGATTCTCTCTTATTTTTTTTTACAAATTGATACAAATCATCGCAATCTATTGCATTCTAAATACTGAAATTACAAAAAGAAAAACGATTTTTTAAAATGCTGTCTCGTTTAAAGAATCACTTTCGAATTCTAGTTTACTATAATCCATAATTTCACAGAAAATCAGATTTTCTACAATACCAGAAAGATAAAACAAACTAAAAGTCTCCTCCGATGAGGTTATGAATGACAGACAAAAAGTCTAGTTTTGCTAAGTCTAAACAATATTTTTGATTTATTTAAACATTTGCTTACAGCTCACCAATCGTAAGCTAGAAAAAAAAACAATACTGAACAAATATTTAGAAAAAGCATCAAATTCTGGTTCTAACTGACTGATTTTGATCCTCTTCAATGACATCTTGATGTCCGAAATATCAGCAAATATATTTATAACACTTTTTAATTTTACATTATATACAAAAATCGTTTTGACCACCATCAAAGACTTTTTCTCAGTGAACTAACTTTAAATCAGAAAAAGAATTCTAAATACATAGTTAGAAAAAGTATGAAGTTCAGATTCTAGCTGATTACCATTCTTTCTCTTCAATGATTTCTATATAAACAAAAAAAAATTAACCAAACATTTTGTGCAAAGATGTTGTTTTTTTTACACATAGATTATTCTGATCATATGATTTCTAACCAATTCTATACTGACCTACCAGTGATATAGGACTGTACAACAGTCATACGATTTGTTGTTAATGTTCCTGTTTTGTCTGAACATATTGTTGATGCATTTCCCATTGTTTCACAAGCATCCAAATGTCGAACAAGATTATTATCTGTCATCATTTTCTAATAAAAAAAAACTTAAGATAATAATTATATTTATTAAGATCATTTTTGTTACTAACTCGAACAGCATAAGCAAGAGCAAGTGTTACAGCCAATGGAAGACCTATTTATTTAGAAACAAAAAACAATTCTTTTCTTTTTTTTTAAGTGTAAAAATAAATGAATGTTACCTTCTGGTACTGCAACAACAATGACTGTAATAGCTTGGATAAGAAATGAAATAAAATAAGCAATATCAATTCCTGAGGGTTTTTGTTTTTTAATAACATAAGTTGTAATACAATAACGAATGGTTAAATTAATTAATGTTAAAAAAGCAGCGGACACACCTAATTATTAAAAAAAAACAATTTCTTTGAATTTAAAAAATAATAATAATAATAATAATGCTTTACCAATATAACCAATATACAAAGTTAAAGTAGTTAACTTCGATTGAAGAACCGCTAAAAAAGATTATTTTATTTTTCAAATGATTGCATTTTTTATTTATTTTTTTATACTTACATTTATGTTTAGCATCACCTACATCAATATCATCATCTTCTGTATGTTCAGTTAATTCAGCCGCAGCATTTTTTGTCTTGTTTTGAGATTTCTTTTTATTATCCCAACTAGTTTCATTTGTTTTATTATGATTTTTATCTTTGGATGTTTTTACTAATCTTAATTTATCTTCGTGTGAGAGTTTTTTAAATATTGCTGGTGTTCGTTGCTTTGTTTCGTCTTCAAGATGTACACTTTGTTTTGATAAATTAGATGAAGCTTTTGTTAATGGTGTTGCTATTTTAAATTTTCTATCCCTGTTTTTATCTTCTGATTCACTTCTACCTGCTGTTGCACTAAGTAAACTCATTATGTTTCTAAATTGAGAATTAAGTCCAACACGAAGAACTACCATTCGGCCACTACCTTCCATGACATGTGTACCTGATAATAATCTGACATCTTCAGCTTCACCTTTTTTTACTGAATCAGTTTCTCCTGAATTAAACGAAAAAACAAAAGAATATTTTTCATTTCTCATAATTTTTAGAAGAAAAAACAATGTTGCTTTTTCACCTGTTAAAGAAGATTCATCGATTTTAAGATCACTTGATTGAACTATAATTCCATCAGCTGGTATAAGATCACCTAACAAAGAATGATTTCAAAAAACAAAACTTCTCTGAAAAAACATTTTATTCAAAATATTACCATATTTAATAAAACAAAGGTCACCAACAACAAGTTCTGTAACAGGAATTTGTTGTATATGATTATTCCGTACAACAGATGCTCGTTGATCTTTTTCAATTTTACTTTGTAAACCACGAAATTGTCGCTCTTTTCTCCAGTCATTAAATGCAGTAACAAATACAACGACAAGAACAGCAACAAGAATTGCAACACCTTCAATCCATTCAAGATTTGCTAAAAAAGAGCCGATACAACGAAAAAATTAACATACTCTCTATGTTTAAAACCGATTTATTTAAAAACTAATATCAAGTTTTCTCTCTTCTTTAAGGTATTATTCTATATTAATTTAAAATATTAAACATTGTCGTAATTAGGATTTTTCTCCTGTCATCAATTTTGGATACTTTATTGGTTTCTTCTTTTTTGTTAAATGGAAACATTTGTTTATATTTAAGTAATATGAGATGGTGTCTATAGATGATTTTATTTGTCTATCAAGATTCTGGAAAAGCTTTTTGATCAATATTATGCTTAACTACACTATGACGATCTCTTGAGACTAGCTGACATGAAAATAAGGCACCAAACCCGTATATAAACAAGCATAACATCTCATCTTTAATAATAACAAAAGAAATAATGATACTATTCATTTATTATTATAATCAGTCAAAGAATTTAATGAGAGAAAATTATATGAATTAGAACAATTCAATCTTTTCGTGTTTTGTGCATGACAAACGCGTAATGCCGAAACCAGGACAAAGACCTTTTCATTATAAACGATGCCTTCTATGATCGTGCAAAACTTGTGTTTAATATCATGTTGTCAAGACTCATGTAATCTAAATAGATATGGGCAGGATAACCCAGTCCTGGTTCTCCGAAACTGAAACCAAAAATGACTGGTCGCGCTCATGTCTATAAATGTGTCAATTTCTTCACAGAAAGCTCATATTATTACGTAGAAATAATTTTTTTCGATATAATAAGACTGCGTCTATTCGATAATTCAAAGGTACATGATTTAAATTTCTGTACAAGGAAAATTTGTCAATTTATTCTGCATTCGTTCCATATGAACATTTAACTCATCAATAGACATGAATAGAACCAATTCTTTTGAATTCCGATAAAAAAAGAACCTTTAGTTCTAGTTTCAAACTGAGCAAAAATGTTGTTAACAGAGCTTACAAGGGAACCTTCGCAGGTGCTAATACACTGTAAAAATAAATCTTAGAATAATAAACCCTTTTATCGTTTATTGCCAGTTTTCTAAAGCCTTGAAGGATTTATTAAATCTCCTAAACCCTTTTTTAAGGGTTTATTATACGTTGCACTTTCAAAAACCCTTAAGGGTTTATTAGGTATCCTAAACTCTTAAAGGGTTTAGGAAACTGGCAATAAACGATAAAAGGGTTTATTAATATACGGTGAAGAATTTAGGACTGGCATAAACCCTTTTCCTAGGATTTATTATTCTACGATTTTTTTTTTACAGTGTAAGCTATTTTCTCTGAAATATCGACATTTTACCATGATTTTTCAGCAGCACTCTAGTTTTGCAGTAGAATAGAAGCTTCGAATTTTGATCTGAAACTTTGTCTACACCGACACCTCAACGAGACAAGCTTGCGTACTAAGTTGCAAAATTTTCGGACGAATCATTTCCAAGATATGAATTTTCTAAAATATTCATGCCTAACACAATATCCATAAAAAAGCGTCTTTACACTAACATACTCGTATATGGAAGATAATTTGTCCAAAAATTCTAAAACTTTGTAATTAGGTTCGTCTGATTGAAGTCTTGATGTGGGCAAGGTTTCAGATCAAAATTTGAAACATTAATTTTACCGCAAAAGTAGAGTGCTATTGGAAAATTATAGTAAAATGTCGATATATCAGGCACATCGCAACTTAGGCCCATATGCTTTTAGAACTTCTCTAGTCTGTATATCCCATGTTTGTGGACATCATGCCAGTTCAAAAGCTTTTTAGCATCTGTGAAGTTTTCCTCGTTAGAATAATTCCTTATTAAAACCTATAAGATTAAAATGTCTTGCTGTTATATTGAGGTCTATTCATTTGCTAGTATCCTTCTTTGTCAATACTTAATTAAATATAAACACAATTCGTTGGTTTGATATTCATCCTAATTGAAATAAAGACATTCTCCTTTTATATACTCATAGAACTCAACAAATAGAATGATTATGTAGAATCTTAGTCTGATTATGACTATTTCTATTTTTAAAAGCAAGTTTAATAAATCTTTTGCTCTCAGACTAANTTGTGATAAAATCAACAGAAACTATATTAGAACCTGATACTCCTGTTTTTCTTTTATTGCATATCCAAAATTCTGAGAAATTGACATGAATACATGAGTAATGATTTTCATTGATCTCAAGTGGTTTCAGGTGATTTCAAATTATTTCACTTGATTTCAAATGATTTCACGTGATTTCAAATGATTTCGGATGATTTCACGTGATTTCACATGATTTCAGATGATTTCACGTGATTTCAGATGATTTCACGTGATTTCAAGTGATTTCAGATGATTTCAGGTGATTTCAGCTGATTTCAGCTGATTTCAGGTGATTTCAAGTGATTTCAAATGATTTCAAATGATTTCACGTGATTTCAACTTGATTTCAGCTGTTGAAATCAGTTTGTTCCCCCTTGGTAAAGACGCAAAAAATGCATCCACATCTAACACCTACGCTTGAAAACTATATACGGTACTAAGCGTCGTAATCTGTCAAAGTTGAGCAATATCCATGAACAAATAAAAGTCATATACGAGCATATCTTCTCCATTTCAACACTTTTCTACCCGTCTATTTGAGCTATTATGTTCTCCCTGTCTATCCCTTTCTTTCTCGAAAAAGTTGTTTTAAAATAATTCCTAATACTGTACATTGTACTATCCCTAACATCATCGACTTTTTCAATATTGTGTTGTTATTTATCAAAAGTACACGGAATTAAAGTGATAACACATAGAAATAACGATTGCATTCATCTGAAAGTAGCTCGAAGTTCCATCAAGTAGTACAAAGTAGCCTGAAATACTTCAAAGTACTTGAAAGTACCACTCAAGTAGCGCAAAGTACTACTTAAGTAATTTAAAGCGGCCTCGAAATATGAGAAATCAACTTGAAGTAGTTCAAAGTTGTCATCAAATAGCTAAAAGTAACTTCAAGCGCAAAAGTCCGCCGTTTCTCCCTTGAGCTCATCAGGTAAATTCAAAATCTAATTAACTGCATATCGATTATATTCAAATTATTATTTAAGTGTATGAAACTATATTATAAAAGGATAAGAGATTAAAAGCATCACAAAGCGCGTTCCTACGTTTTGCGACTTTGTACGGTTTGTGTCTTAAGGACAGTATCGAAAACATCCATCAGTAAAGTGTTTTACCTTCAAATATATTGTAATGTATAGTGTGTGTGTCTGACAATGGTCAATAAATGTGTCTTGTAGTTGGACGATATATGTTCAAAATATCTAAAATGGAACAGATTTGGTCAGAGGTAATCTTAAGTATTTGATTAGAGAATAATTGCTGATTAGCTTTATTGTTCAGTATTTCTAATCTAATGAAATAAACACGTAGTTCGAGTTATATAATTGGAAACTGATAGAAAAAAATGTTTTTGTTAGTTATTATTGTGTGGTTGGTTCCATTCTTTTTAGAATTTCTCGTGTAGGCTTTTTGCGAATTGAAAACTTTTGTAATGTGCGGTTGATCGTCAGGATAAGTCGGATTCGAATACAGTTGGCCGGTGACCCTGAATATTGGTAATATTTTCTCCACCATTTCAAAAATTGAACAGAAAATGTCGAGGTTGGCCCGCTCTCAAACGTGTATCGTAAGTACATCACTTTTGAATTCCATGGTTTTTGTTGTAATACGGGCGGATATAGGACAGGATCTTTTTTCACAGTTTTGAATTCGATTTCACGTTTTATTGGTTGATAAAGTAATTTTCGATGTAGTTGTTGATAAATTTGTTCAGCGAATCGCTTTATAAGAAGATCAGCCTTATTCACTTGAAAAAATCGAAGAAACTGATTCGTAATAAGCTTTTGTTGATTATTCAAGAACAATGAGACATCAATTCGTAATCGATCCGAATGAAAATCATGAAGAGTAGAACAGAGATGTGCAGCACGTAATGAAGCACTATACAGTATATTGCGATGAATACGATATGGAGAGTGTGGGTGTATCAAGCAATCCATGACGCATTTCGACCTTGCTCAAGGGTCTCATCAGATGATTTTGACTTTATATCTATTCAAATGATCTGAAGATCACAAATAAGATATATGGCTTACAAATTTAAGAAGAGCTTCAAAGGGAAAAATCAACGTAATAGTAGATATATTTACATCAGTAGTGTGTCAAGGATGTGTGGATATTGCACTGTGGGTTCGTGTGACCGATAAATGCACACCCGCACTCTCACCCACGCGCACACTTACCCATATCCACACTCTCTTAACTCGTTTGAAAAGGGTATTTTCTCACGTCGACACACTATTTACTTCAATGGGGGCGGGGGAGGGGGAGATCAAAACTTCATCATGCGCGTTAACACAATATAATCTCATATGTTTATACTTTCCGATGAAAATCATTCGATGACCGTTCGAGTTACTTATGGTGAAAGAATTGGAATTATTTTCACACAAAGGAAACTAGTCTCATCTATTGATCATTCCGCGTTGAAAACAACAATAATCAGAATCTAAATCCATATTGATATTAAAATTTGTTACAATATACAAATACAAATCACTACTCACGACATCCAACAATATCGACAACCTATCAAGATTAAGAGTCAACGCCATACCCATATGCAGATATTCTCATTTCTTCATTTTCTAACTATCAGAAATTCTAACTATAGATAACAATTATGAAGCATATCATACTGAAAATCAGATTTATTTATTTTCGCCTCGAAACAAACATATCACAGAAAACAGTGAAATGTTACAGAACTCGTCTCAGTCTTTCAATAAACCACCTTTGGAACCAATGCTTCAGGATTTTGTTCATTTTTTATTCCGTCCAATCAGCTTTACCAAACGATTATTAAGCTCTAACTCAATAGGATTCAATGTGAGATCGAGTGTGGTGAGTATTTTTGTAAAAAAAGTGCAGATAAGGATATGAGAGAGATAACGAGAGAATGAGAATTATCGTGTTATTTCGCAATTCATTAGTCATATGTTGTACTCCTTCGTCTCCGATTCGATTCTCACATAGACCTAGTGTGTTGAGTGTTTATGTGGAAAAATGCAGATGAATATATGAGAGAGATGAATATATGAGAGAGATGAATAAAGCATGAGAATCACTGCGTTATTCTGTGAAGTATCAGCTGTGATTAGTAAATTATTTTTTTCTCACTGGATACTTAAGCTGAATATATATAGAATGTGTTATTGTTAGTAGCTTAAAATAAATATGATTTTTTCTCATTAATTTTATTTAAATAGCTTGTTAGGGCAGCCCCTTGGGGACTAAATTCTGAAACTCAAATATTTCTTATAACCTATAGTATCCAACCACATCCGAAACTCGTTTCTGTGGTCTGTAATGAAGGGTGTCTGTAATGAGGAGGGAGGGGAGCGACTAAAACTTGAACTTACAACTTACACTCAGTAGTTCCTTGGAAAGTATATGTGAGTTTCACAATAGTGAAAATTATGATAATTTGCACTTATTTTTAGTTAAAATCACTGATTATTTAATTTATTGATAAATTAAATTAAAACCAACGCAAATTCAGACCCTAATCTGAAAGAAAAAAAGCAGTATAGCTGGAGCTTTGTATGGATCATGATATCGGGAAGACTATGGTTTTTTTAAAATGAGTCTGGATGTTGATGTTGATATAGACAACATTGGAATCCAAATCCACATTCATACACCTACAGCCCATTCACACCCAAATAGACAGCTACGCTCACATCCTTATTTGCTGATAGATAGTCATAAATGAGAGAAGCAAACAAAGAGGATAGAAATGTTTTATAAAATTGATATTGAATTGATGGAGCATTTCTTATAGAATAAGTAATTTCATTAAAGAGCATTCAGTTATTAATTACGATGCTTTTTAAGGTCCAACAAGCTCGGTATTTTCCACTAGATTGACCAAACAATAAAAGTTGGCTTTTCTGCTAAAATATGAGCATTGAAAATCAGACAATTTCATTGATTTTCTCATGAACTTTCCATGCCCTAGATATATGCCCAAAATTCCAGAAGACTTCAGAGAACTTTACGCGATATCCAGAGATTTTATGAGACTTCTGGACATTTCATAGCCGAACTCTCGGTTCTTTCCCTGTTGGTTTGCCCAGCAGATTAAATGTGTTCAGTAATTATTAGATAGAAGGTGAAAATCTTCATAGAAAGAATATCCATTGAGTATTCAAGCATGGAGAAGACAATTCATTAGATCAATAGGCACTTAAAAGAATACTTAAAAGAATAGGTAGAAGAAGTAACGATAGATTGCCCTCAAGTTTTAAGCGTAAATACATTGGTTCGCAAATAAACTATCTGTATAGTAATGGGTGGATAAATAAATTTATGTTAAAATTGACTTAAAGATTGCTTGACTCGCAAAATCGAGTAGTTTACGCGTACATTGTATAATTAGCATCTAGATAGTTGGCTTCTTAACATGATTGGATAATTCTAAAAGAAATTACTTCTACTTAAAAAGCAGCTGTATTATACATTCAACTACGATATAAGTAGCATTCGTTTACTAGTTTAAACAAAATTTGATGCGTAAAGGGTGTGGATGTGGGGATATCAGTATGAACATTGGTGTCCTGAGGTTCGGATGACAAAGGACCTACACTCACCCGTATTGTTTTTTTTGATTTTCTTTCATTTAGTAAAAAATTCTTCCCGACCGATATTAGTACACTGAAAAAATGTGTAATGTTCTACTTTCGATATATTCGAATTCAAGAGCAAACTATAGGTTAGTGCACGTAGAACATCAATTGTTTATTTTCTGTTCCATCCAAGAATCACAATAACTAACGCAAGTTGTATATCAAAGCGCATACCTAACATCAAGAGAAAAGAGAAAGAAAAGATGAACATAGAATATAGATAGATGGCATATCATAATAAAAGGTACTATACGAAACTGTCGAGAGTTTCGTGGTCGCTACGAAACCTAAAAAAGTTTTTAAAAACGGTACGAAACCTACAAAGGTTTCGATTTTTGAAACGAATTGGTTCAATACCTAAAATGGAAAATTTTCTTTCAAATGAGTCTCTTTTTCAAATTGTTATTTTCGTTATTTGTGTTGATTTTGATAGTCTCTTTGTATTCATTTCAGAAATCAAATGCTTCAACATGAAAAATAATATGGATTTTTTTGAAATACTTCGAAATACGACCAAATATCAGAAGGAGATTCTATAATTGCTTGAAATTATTTTTTTATTGACAGTTGTTCATAAACCTGATGCTCTATGTTGAATGAGTGATGTCACACGTTTATTGATTTCATTTAAACCATAAAATAATTGTTGTTGTGCAACACCCCAAGAACGAGGATCTAACACTTTTTCTGATATCATTATTTTTCTTTTATCTCTTCATTATTGGATTATTATCAGCATTATATATAATAATACAATCATTTAATGTTGTAGAAGATATAAATTCATCAAGGGTAATATCATTGAAATTTGTGGATGGATTATTGCTTGGTTGTTTTATGCAAATTAACCCTTTGAGAACGGATTTTATTTTTCAATTGAAAACTGATTCTTCAGTCAGTTTTTTTGCATTTAGCTCAAAGTGACCGCAGAAAAACCTTACGATAATAGATCAAGAGAAGACAATGAGATATCATGACCTCAGTGTTTAATAGCAGAAAGAAAGAGAGAAAAGGTATACATGAAATGGCAGATTGGACGACCTATTACTTTACCAGTCATAACAATTAAAATGAGAGCATACATTTTCTTTACTGGACAACACGTGGGACAACACATGTTCCACCGTCCTGAAAGGGTTAATAAATTATTTTTCGCTAAATTAATTTTTTGTTTCGTAGAATATTTTCAGGTCTTTGCTGAATAATTTCGTTGTTTTTGTTAATTTATTCCCATTCATGGTTCGATAATTTATATAAATCCAAAAAGGGAGTGAAATATATATACTTTGAAGAAGACATTTCACATTTCTTGTTTCTGTTCTAGACGTATAGTAGATTCCTTGTTGTATGAGAAGAATTAGGCACTTAGTGAGCATTTAATGTCAACTGATCGCCCCGACTAATCGAGTAAATCATACACCTTTTATTCGGTAAACTTCCTCTCCGAAAATACCAATTTCAGATAAGATATATTTCATTCACTTTATCTATATATCACTATAAGTTTCAGAGTAAAAATGCACCAAACATACTTCTTTTTTAAGTCCTTTCACTATAAAAGCCCACTGGCATTCTTTAAGAAATTTTATAACTATGATGATTTCAGAATGATTTTAGAATTTTCGAAGTTCTTACAGTGCTTACTGTTTCTTAGGTTCTGGGATTGATTGGAACTATGCTCCATTTATTTTGATACCTTAGATTTTTTTAATGAATCTTTTAGTTCTTAATATTCAAGAAGTGTACAATCCATAAAATTCAAGTAGGTATCTTCTATGATCTTCATTTCAATTCTTCTAAAGGATTCTTTTCTGCAATAATTGTAGACAGACGGAACGACATTCTAGAAACCTTCGATAGATTTTTGTGAGACTTTATTTCACTTCTCGTTTATTTGTATAACTGTATCTCAGGATGAACGAATCTTTCACGTAACAACATAACGCTGTGTATATAGAAGTGATAGAAGAAGTAGGAAATTTCCAATAAACTATAAGCAAAGAAAATCCATAGAACAACATGAAAGATAGAGTGACAGAAAGAAATGGAAAATTCCAACATGCATGACTAACAAGAAGAAGAACATAAATGAACAGGTATAATCATATAAATAAATAGGGAAAATCCTTATGACCACATCTGAAGCAGATGTAGGACATAACAATTTTACAAAAAAGATTACCATTGTTTTCTATTTCGTTAAGCATTGAAGAAAAAATAAGAAATTCAATAAAATCTTTTGAAATAGCTTGCATAATGTACTGATTCTTTTTTGGCTAATATTCATTTATATTAAAATATTATCATCAAATTATTTCTAGTCTAAAAACAATCAGTAAAAAATCCAAAATAAAAATTTGTTGAATTAAATGGTGTCTTGAAGATGAAAGAAAAACTAACTCTATGAAAGAATTTAAATTTACCTGATATTGATGATACACGTATGTATCAGTGATCATATTCGGTCGTGTATACACATTACAAACTGAACAGAAACTTGTGAATTCATCAATATTGTCCAGGATGCGATAGACAAGCTCGGCAGGTAATTCCAGGAGAGATGATGGAACTTGATTAACCATAAATGTGGCTTGTGTTCGGATACTATATTTTGTTACAATGGATGTCTATTGAAACTGATTTTTCTTTATATCGATCTATTTATTGACTACGTGTCATTAAGCTTCATCATGGCTGAGTGATTTTTTTTCTAACACAAAGAAGTAAAACAAGTGTGATACAACCAATCCCATGGACAAGCAAGTTTATAAAGGTAGATGTCAATATATTATACTCTTTCACCTGAATTTTTGAATGAAACTTTCAAATATTTATAACTGACCGTTTCCTAGAATTTTCATCCTTTAATATAATCGAGGTCTCGTTCAAGTTTTCTTTTTTTGTCTGTGTCATTGTGACGTTCGACATAGAAGTAAGGAGGAAAAAGATAAGCAAAACTAGTGGAAGATAAGAAAAGCAATAGACAGAGAGTGACAAACATATCGGTAGAGGTAGAGAAATGCCAATATTGTGATATTATTGTGACAAAATCCAATCTTCAATAGTAAAGATAAAACAGTATAATAGCATAATTCTGTTTTTTTTTCATCGACAATACAGAAATATTTTAACAAAGGATACCTATTCTCGATCCATCATAAAGTTTAATTTTTTTTAATTAGATTTTTGGAAACAAAAAAACTTTTAAACGAATTTACGATGAAAGAGCATTAAAAGACAAATAATTCTGCAAATGTTTCACATATAAATACGAAAACTCTTTTTTTTAAATTTGGGGATTCAAGCAATTTCTTGTTCCTGGACGTCACATAGTTAGAAAAAGTTATCAAGTATTAGTAACATATGAACTCGGTCCAAACGATATAATTTTATCTGGTTGAACATGAAATTCCCAATTTCGTTCGATTGATTTAACATGATCAAATGGAGCGGTAAGTACTAAATTTCCACATTGAATTTTCGTTATTATTGCAACGGCTGTCCACATTCCCATATTCAATGTTACTTTCTTTATTAAACGATATTCATTTTTCCGAATAGTAAATGGTCGATATTTTAATAGATGCCCATTTGGATGAGACCGGAATACATGACACTGAATTGGTAATTTCTGTGCATTATAGATAACACCTGAATAAACGACAGCTGGTGCAGGCAGAGTCGAAATTCTTAATGCCAGACATAAAGTAAAAATAGTAAAATAGACCATTAACATGATTAATTGTATCTAAAAAAAACAAAAAAAATATTACAAGTTTTATCCTTTACATGAAAATAATAAATCATGCCAGACTTTATCTCAAGAACATAAATTTTAACGAGATTAATCTACTTTTTAAGAAAATATTTGTAATTTTTCTACTAGATAAATATATTGACGATGTCCATTGGCTGTAGAAATATCTATCAGTTGATTGACAAACTCTAAAGTAGAAAAGACAATGTTTATTATTTTAGAATAAAGCAACGAATTTACTACAAAATAATGGTTTCTTAAGTGAACTGTAGTGATATGTTCCTACCGAAAAATAAAACGAAATTTGAACAGTCCAAAATGAAACGAAACAGTCCGACAATTAAAAAGTATATGATTATTCTCCTTAGCCTTCAAGCAAAAATCGAAACATGAAAACAAGAATGAAAGACATGTATGAAATGATAAACTTAAAAGCATGTTTTTTGGACGTAAATGAACTCTGCATTTCAAGTTAAAGGAAAATTGAAATGCATACGATCATTCTTGTAATTCTTCGAGAATATTAAGAAATTATCATCTAAATATACTGAATATGAATACTGTCATCCTAGTCTCCATCATGAGATAGCTTTAGGAAACCTTTTTGTTGCGCCTGAGCGGGAGGGAAAGGGCTGTAAGATTCGAAAATAGGTACCAAAGATCCTTTTACCATTCGATCCTAGAATAAGCTACAGACCTGTCAGTTTGAGCGTTGGATGAATGATAGTTTGAAAATTTTAAAACACTAATGAAAATTAAAAATTTTGCTGGGCTTCATACAAATGTTGAAGTTCAAAAATGTCAAAAGCTACCATTTTTTATTGTAGTGCTTTTCCAAAAAACAGAACAGCCGAGAAAAAGTCGAGTACAAAACAACTAATCATCTCAACAAGAAGTATCTATGGTAAACATTTGGAACTCTTCGTAAAGTTTTCAAATTTTTGAATCTACGACAATACTTACAGACTCAAGTCATACAAGCTTAGAAGGTTTCATTACATTCGTAAATAGTCGATGTATGTGTCTCAGATTATTGACAGTATCATCGTTCACAAAATAGATAAGAATGTCATCTAGACGGAAAAAAAACATTTTATCTTTCCTGGTATAGAAAAAAATATTTATATTTGTAGCTGTTTCTTCCACAAGACGGCAAGGGATGAGGATCTGTAAATTCTGTGAGACGATTTTTTTCGTCTCTTGTCATCCCACACAAAACCCTGCTAAGCATTTCTGTCATCGTATTGTCATGTTATCTCTAGACAAACAACGTTGCTATTTGACTGAAAGTGATGATTGTGGACTGACAATGTGTTTTTGATTAATAAGAAATGAAATTGGCAAAAAAATTCTCTTTATTGTGAATATAATCAGATACGTTTTTTTTTAAATACTATAGATTACTTCTCTTATTCAATTTTTCTTTTTGCTAAATATAAAAATAGACTGTCTCGTATTCGATTCATGTGATGAAGAAGAAGAAGATTTTATTTTCTTTTGAAACACTGAATGACTGAGACGAGAATAAAATTTTTCCAACCATACCGATTGAAATATTTCATGATTATGAACATGTTTAGGTGCGTATCGATTAGTCAAATTTTATTTAAAAAAAAAACTGTTATTTCCCGAAAAATATGCTTATTTTTATTGGAAAAATCGAATTGAGATAGTATTACTATCATCGTTAGCTATCAGCTCAAGATTTATCTTCAGTTTCAGTATCTATGAGTATCATACAGAATATTGAACACTATGGTAACACCTCGGCACATTTTCAGCACATTCAAGCATAACTTGGCATTTTGTTGCTGTAGTAGTTTCCTTGTGAATTTTAGCCATTGCATTTTTCATTCATGAACCATCAACTTCTCATGAGTTTGACTAATTTATTCAGTATTGTATAGATCATTGAAGATCCTTATGTATGATTATGAATTCTTGTGGACTTTGATGACTTCAAAACTATTGAGATTTCGTAAAATATATTAGAATTCCCTAATTCATTCTTTTTTTTTCTTTAAACTCTGTAAAAGATATAGAAGACTTTTCGTAGAAACAATATAATTACAACAAGAATGCAACAAATAATATATTTTCTATTGAAGACAAGGATCTGGAACGAGAATATCGTTAAATCGTTTTTTATGTGAAGCATTACCATAGAATTTCTTCAGCAAATGTTCCATTAGAAAAAAAAACACCTTCATTTTTATACGAGGAGGAAAAGAAAGTCCCATGCAATGAATTATTTGATGATAATATATTAAATTATTTAAATTTTATTTAGAAAAATTTTGAACAATGTATTGATGTTAACGACGAAATCTTATTTATAAATATGAGTTGAGTAAACTACTCATTTGAACATGTATGAGAGTTGCTTTTGAAATAAACTGAACATAAATCAATATCACAACAATAATACAGGTATAGATTGCTTGAAGTCAAATTTTTATTTGTTCTGACTCTTTTTTTGTCGTCATGTTTTATCAAACAATTAATATGAAATATTTAGTTAGTTTTCAAGAATGTTTAGTTACTGCAAAATATCCTCAAGCTTATGTTCTAGTTCCAGTTTTATTTGTAAATCAGTACTATATAAACAAAAAAACATCATAATCATATGGATGTGCTATTTCGCTTCTATCAAACGCACGTACACCCAATAAAGTGGAACACCAGCTAAACGATTACCAAAATAGCATAAGAAAAATCTGAAACAAACATTAGTTTGATATGATCACTTCGGAAAAACAAATAATAAATTTCCTTGCTGTGTAATTTAAAATATAGAAAAGTTTTCAAACAGATGTAAACTCTAAACGATTGTCTTTGTGAACACTATCACATGTCATTCCTGTTTGAATATTGTTAGGCCTAGATTTAACATACGATGAGTTAATATGCAAAGTCGATATTTTCTTTATAAGTCTCAAGACAATTTTATCGAATCGAAAATGGAGTGAACACTATTGTGTGATGTTACTTCGTATGAACATCTGCAATTTCTAAGTGATTCGATTGAGATGTTCGCCGTCAAGTTTTTTCAAATGTAATATATAAATAATTTACTCAGAAACAATATAACACGTAACTATAACCTTTGATCTCTGTCAAAAGTAAACTTTCAATTTTGGTTTCACAAATCTCTAGATTTGACCAGACGAACCACTGTTTCTTATTTGAGGTTAACCAAATAAAATCTATCAGTCTTTTATTGAACAATATGCTTGACAATCTATTTTCTGATGTCTGATTGATATACTGTATTTTATTCTGAACATCATATTATATATGATAAAGAGCATTCTATATGAGAAACATTTTGAAAAAAAAATAATGGCCTAGCGAAAAAGTCACTGATGAATAATGGAAAATGTTAGGTAGAAAGAGCAATGCTATCCGTCATTCATCATAGCCTGGCTTATCACAATAACAGTTATTTGTCGTTGTTCTCACGTACCTTAATGAAGACATATATAAATGGAAACGAATAGGCATTATGAGTTAGACATGAAAACTTCCAACAACAACTTTATCAATATACTCGATTTGCCCAATGAAATCTTACTGACCATTTTCAACAAATTGAATATGGTTGATATCCTTTATTCACTTATGGATATCAATGAACGATTGAATCGATTAGTACTTGATTCTCTTTATATTCGTAATCTTGATATGACTATGAAATCATCATCTGATGATACTTCTTCAATACCTGAACAAGTTCTTAATAGAATTTGTAAAGAAGTCTTACCTCGAATTCATCATCATGTAAATAAACTTACTGTTGAATCACATTCAATAAAATATATTCTTCTTAATGTCAATTTTATCCTCAACTTTTCTCGTTATCATTTGTTAATTTTCAAGAAGAAATCCTTTACTAATATTTAACAGGTAATCTATTTAATTTTGTTCGTTTTAATCAACAAAAGACTGAAGGTGTTATATATGAACTAATAATTGTCTTTGTTTTTTTTAATTGAAGGTAATTCAATTCTTCATCGTCTCCTAACGGAACAAATCACACATCTTAATATTAGTATTCAAAATAACATAACACCAACATTTTTTGAAACTTTATCATATGTATTCGCATTTTTGATTTACCATCAACAAGTTGTATGTCTTTAACTTTAACTCAATTGAAAATTAATGTCAAAACTTTTGATGCTTGTCTTTATCTTCTTGATTGACGTCTCGATAATTTATCGACCTTGATTATTGATGTATCAAAAATTCCTCGTACATTATCAAATATAGATAACATGGTAAGTATATTTCCGATCATTGTGTTTCGAAGAAAAACGCTGAACTACGTATATAAATAGAGATTCTTAATTTTATTTTCTTTATAGAAAAAACTTCCCAAATTGAAAAGCTTTTCATTGATCTCGCTTGACTACACATGTCACTATGATGATGAAATTATTCCATTACTTCGTCGTTTGATAAATCTTGAAGAATTGATATTATCTTTGTCGGTAATAAGAGTTGACTTAACTTGTATTGATGGTGCACATTTATACGAAGAGATTCGGATTCGTCTGCCACGATTAAACAAATTAATTTTCAGTATAAACACAGCTGTTATCAAGAAGAACATTAAAATTGATTTTCCATCTAATGAAGACATTCAACGTAGTTTTATCGAAAGAGGATATCAACAAATTGGTTCATATGCCAATTCTACAGTAAGAGAAGGTCAAGGAAGATGTCATGTTTATTCACCTTCATATCAATTCGAAACTTTTCTTCATCTTAACAATTCTTTTCAAGGTGGCGTGTTTAACAAAGTTCGATGCTTAAGTATGACAGATAGACCTCCTTTTGAACATGAATTATTTAAAATCATCTCGCAAGATTTTTCTTTTCTCAAAAACTTATCTATATGTAATAAAGAACCACAAAAAAATAAGCAACATTCGTCTACGTTGATTACATTTCCTCATTTTTATTTTTCTCGATCTCGAGGCAGCACATATGGACTACGCTAAACAGTTTCTTTTGGAACAAAATACTCATCTACCTTGTTTGTTGATTCTCAACACCAAGTACCACGATTTTTCAGAACAAATATAGACGAAAGCAGTAAAGTGTATGAAGGAGAAAAACATGAATGCTACATTTGAAATCGTTATCTCTTTAGTTTCACCATTTTGTTTCTGTTGAAACAGCTGTCATTATAGAAATGTATCAATGTAAACAAAAAAGTGTTAAATTACTTTGTTTTCTCGCAAAATCTAGTTATGCTAATTTGCATTAACGGGTTCTTAAATTTCTATCTCTTTTTAATGCAACAACTCAATAAATCCAAGCAGTTAATTCCATTTCTGTCGATATATGACAATCACATTCTTTCGAAAAAAGAATACAATCACCATTACATACAATCTGTTTTCTCGATAGATTTTTAGTTATATATTAAAATTACAAAATGTTTTTACAAAAAAGCTAGCATAAACCCTCGAAGTTGGTTTTTAGTTTATTCAGATCAATATTTACACGACTGTATTAATATTTTTCCTTTTATATAGTACGTCAGACAGATAAAACAGAGGAGTACACTGTGAAAAAGAATCCGCAGAATAATAAACCAAAAAAAACCGTTTTTGATAGAGTATAAAACAAAACAAGAGCTTATGAATTTGCAACGGAACATAAACTCTTTTTTTCCGTTTATGACGAAGATAATAAATGGGTTTTTCGCTTGTGATTTCGAAAAAAGGGTTTATTAGATATTTCAAAAACGGAAAAAGGGTTTGTGTCTCGTTGCAAATTCATAAACCCTTTTCTTATTTTATATCCTATCAGAAACGTTTTCTCCGCTTATTATTCTTCGGATTTTTTCCGTGTACTCCCTGAGCTCAATGCTTTCTCTAAGGATTCCAAATAACGATCCAGCAATCGACAGTTATATCAAGCAAGTTGTAACAATTTTCGATTTCACCACAACCAAATCAAAACTCACGCATGAGAATACACATTTCATATGGAAACTTAATAATGTCAAATCGTTAGATTTTCGAAGTTTTTTTTAACAAAATCCAACAGTGCACAAATACTCGAACTCTACTCTAGCAGTCTCGTTCACCCTAAAACAATCATCAATCAAAGCGTAGATTGATGCGACTGTCTATTTTACAATCAGCACCATCCAAACACAGATTCTCACGATTTTTTTTAAACTAAATTAATTCTTCAAACCCACAACATCCCAAGCATCAGGAGCAGTTCGCCCTTCGAACCTGCTCAACAAAGGAGATCGCGTCAAACCTGAAACCCCGGTCTCCGACTCAGGATTACACTCGGCATCCATTGTTACTCGAATATTTACACACATATATATATATATATATATATGATCTCTCATAAATTTATTTTTAGCAATTTAACTACTTCTTTTGTCTTAATACGAACAAGCATACTACAGGTTGATTACGTTATTTTTGCTAGTTTTGTGTCGTTTGCTGTATTTATGCAATACATCGAATTTTTTTTATTTGAGCACAGTTGGATAGAGCATCAGCTCTTCTATCAAATCATATAATTTGTTTGTTAGTTTCTCTGGCTCTAGCCCAAAATTTTGATGAATCTCAAACAAGTATGAAAAAAAATTTTTTAGGGTTGTTGTCATGATTATTAATAGTTTTATTTTTCATATACAGACTGCTTGTATCATGCTTAATAGTATTCGCGATAACACGTGCGCATCACATATTGAACGTTTTTTTTCTTTCCTCTCGATGACAGTTATAGCCTTCCTCTTTACTTCAATTCGTTTAAATTAATTTCAAGTAAATGCCACGTAAGAAAATTTCCGACATTGTCGAAGGACGTATTTCGCAACTATTACGTCAAGGATATTCTCAGCCTCAAATTGTGAACATTTTGAAACTTGATCGTATACATGTATCTCAACGTACTGTGTCAAATGTCAAACGAAAGATCGGCCGTCAAAGAAATTCTGAATCTAAAATTAACATTTTTCGAAAAAAACCATCACAAACACCATATATTATTAAGAAGGTCATTAAGAAGATTGACGTCGAAGATCCACCAACTCAACGTGCTATTGCTAAAGATCTTCACATCAGCCAATCGACTGTCTCGAACATTATCAAAAATTCTGGATTTGCTCTTCGAAAAAAACAGAAAGTTCAAAAGTTAACATCATCAAATATTATGAAACGTAGACAGCGATCATTTCAATTTTATCTTCAATTAGCGTGTGGTCGATATAAGAAGTTATATTACAACAGATGAAGCTTGGTTTTATTTAGATGGAACTGGGGGAAGAAGAAAAGTATGTTATATAAAAAAAACTGATCCCGATTATGATCGAATGATTATTCAACAAAACACTTCACGACCAAAAGGTTTTATGGTATGGGGAGGTGTATCAAGTCAAGGAAAAACTGCACTTCGTTTTGTTGCACCTGGTACAAAAGTTAATTCAAATTATTACGTTAACAAGGTTTTAAAGCCATTTTTAGCACAAGATGTTCCACGTTTATTTCCAAAAAGACAAAAAATGAAATGGTTTCTTCATCAAGATTCGGCACCAAGTCATACTGCCGAACAAACAATTAGATTTTTGGACCAAAACAAAATTCATTATATAACACCACAAGAATGGATGCCTGATAGTCCTGATGCTGCACCAATGAATTATTCAATATGGGGGTATTTGAAACAACAACTGAATAAAATTCATATTGATTCTCTTGATGACCTTAAAAAAAAGCTTTTGAGTGAGTGGCGAAAGATGAGTCAGACTTATATCGATAAAGTATTAGCTTCCTGGCCAAGGAGAGTTTTAATGATATATAAAGCTCGAGGCTCTCATATCGAACATCGTTTATAATTGTCCTTTGTTTTTGTTTATATATATGAAAAATAAAACTATTAATAATCATGACAACAATCCTAAAAAATTTTTTTTCATACTTGTTTGAGATTCATCAAAATTTTGGGCTAGAGCCAGAGAAACTAACAAACGAATTATATGATTTGATAGAAGAGCTGATGCTCTATCCAACTGTGCCCAAATAAAAAAAGTTCGATGTATTGTATAAATACAGCAAACGACACAAAACTAGCAAAAATAACGTAATCAACCTGTATAATTTAAAGTATTTTGATGCAGAATAAAGGAACAATATGAAAGAAAATTATAGATGTTCGATTAATTTTTTGGCATTTGAAACCAGGCAGTTTATAGAAAAGTTTCCAAAACTTTATGAAAATCCTATAGAGAGATTTTTTTCATAGAATAAAGTAGACTTTGATCTATCGCATAGTATAATCAAAGTCAAGAAAATGACTTTTTCTTCTTCACCACATTCGCTTCACACAACAAGCGTTACAAGATGTCCGAATAATTATTTTGCACACTGCATATATCGGTTAAGCGAACTGGAAGGAATCAGCAAAGAATATATAACTCAGTAAGTCTTTCAGTTGTTCATGGTCGCTTAGTCCTCAAAAGAGCTCCACTGGGTAATATCCAACTACTAAATAAAATCCTTACTTCGTCACTGTGTACGCTAATACTTTTAAAAGTCAACACTGAAATATATTTTAGCCAATTCAATATTCACTGTATGCTTTGAATCGTACATTTTTAGGGTGGGGTGTGGGTGGGTGTGGGTGTGGGTGTGGGTGTGGGTGCGGGTGTGGGGGTGGGTGTAGGTGGAGGGGTGGGTGCAGGGGTGGGTGAGGGTGGGGGGGAGGGCGGGAG